AGAATCCAGTTTTGTTTGACAAAGCTGAAAAAACTTACAAAGAGACAGTAAAAAAGAAAGATATTTGGAAGGGAATCGGAGAGATGATTCCAAAATGACCATATGACCAAATTTTAACAACAAAAGAGGCGATCCGCATTGAAAGCCGTCGACGGTTTTCCGCGTTCGTGTTCGCGCTCTATTTGAATGACTCAACTGATGAAAAGTCGCGTTCGCGCCGGTCGCGTTCGCGTTCGCGCTCTGTATAAACCCACCTTTAGTCAACATAGATTTATTTGAGACAGTTCGACGCCAGCAAAATACCAACATTGAGCTGAACGTCAAAATTTGCGATATAGGCCTACGTGTATGCTTCCTAAGTGAAACAATTTTGGACAAAGCGTTATTTGGCGGACGAAAGTACCGAAATTTAAGGATGTGTAGCTGAGATTAAGACATTTAATTTCCAACTCCATAAATCAGAAAAGACCTAAATATTGAGACAAAAGTTGCGCCAAAGGCTGTCCACGAATTTGTGATTGACAATGAAAGAATGTTTTAAAACATATTTTATAATCGCAACAACCATTGTTCTTCATGTACAATTACTAACATTATATGCAGGACACAAAACCAATTCCCTTTGAGAACAGACTTCGCGTATTCCCGGCTTGTCGCCCCCATTCCTAATACTTGGTTACATGAGGTGTTGAAAGACTACATATTCTTACCATCCGAGTCATTAGATCTCATTCTGAGGTTAGACTGTCTTGGGAGGCTTAACGCTCAGTTTCTGCATTATGAGTAGGCCTAGGCCCTGATGTACTGGAAAAAAAGGTGATGTAGTGGTATTAGGGTGGTACGTGTTAGTGGTCTAATGACTCTAAGGTTGTAAGGATATGTGGCCTTATGACTATAAAGGTCGGGGTATGTGTTCTAATGAATCTAAGGTGGTAAGAGTATTGGGTCTGATAATACTAGGGTGGTAAGGTAATGTGACATCATATGTCATTAGGGTGGTAAGGTTAAGTGGTCTTATGAATCTAGTATTGTGATATTTTGATCAATGAGTTCTGTGAGTAAATCAATATCATCTCTATAGCCTACCGTTTGTGAAACTGAATGAAATGATATTTTACAGAGTGTTCTTTTTTTAAATTGTTGTTGTTCAGTAGGCCTATACAGTATAAATTATTTATAACTCCATGGTATAGGTTTATCTACAAAGGGATGTAACTACTATGTATGCCTTTGAATTAAAGACTACTACGCATTTTCAAGCCCTTTTTTTTACAGCAGATACAGAAAGGGATATCCGTATTCATGACAGTTTTACGTGAACCGTGCCATGTCCTCTATCTATATACTCTCTACGGTCTACTGTCTGGGCCTAGTATGCCTAAGCCTAAGAAGAAGAAATATGTTTGCTTAATATCTTCTGGAGATATGATGGATTATAACCGGGACAAGGAGACGAGGATTATACTTTTTCAATTTCACTGATAAATGATGGTGACTGTGATCTTACCTTAGATATTGGTCTGATTTGAAGCCCATTAAAGAAATGAGTCATTTTATCGATTGTTTTGAACTAGTCTATATAAGAAAGTATTCTGCCACACTTGCTTGCAGCCTCGAATGTAATTGATCTTGCACCTTTTGTCACGTTTTATAGAAGTTTTTATTCAGTTTCCATTTCTAATCATAGTATATTTTCCTTTCATCCGATCCTTTTTTCCATAAAAAGACTTCAAAATGAAAATGAAAGTACAAATTCAAAGAAGGCGGGATATTCCAAGAACGATTGTGACCGGTGGGTTCGTTTTGACGCATTGACCAATTTGCCGCATCGTGCCCAACTGCACAAAAACGACTTGTAAAACGAAACTATGACCATTTGTTTCACATGAAACGAAATATCTGTTGCCCCGCATCGATTTTCTTCTTTTTTATATAATTTGGACTTGTTAGGGAAATCGAAAGTATAGCTTTACGGTAAAATCTGGAATAAAATAAATACCAAGTATAAACGATCAGAACCGTAATATAAATTCCCTAACAAGTCCAAATTATAAATAAAAAAAAAATCTATGTGGGGCAACAGATTAAAATATATCGTTTCATGTGAAACAAATAGTCATTCCGGATTTTATCAGAAACCTTTAGTTTCGTTTTACAAGTCGTTTTTGTGCAGTTGGGAACGATGCGGCAAGTTGGGCAATGCGGCAAAACGATGCCACCGGATTGTGACGTAATGCATATCTATTTTTAACTTGGGAAATTTTCTCGTTAAATCGATATTTAGCTAAGAGAATAGTGTATTGTATCATTGCATACAATAAAGAACGGTATATATTTCATGATTCAAAGTGATAAAGATAACCAACAGACCATAATCTTTTAAAACGGTAGACAGACATGTTGACTCTTGGATCACACACACAAATAGGCCCCTAGGTCTAGAAAATTTTTGTTACTGAATTTCGACCTTTAAAAATAGTAAATTTTGGGCAGTGGCTATTTACCACTAGCGTGGCAAGCGTGGTAAATAGTCAGAAGTACCCCTACAGCTATTTGCCACGGCGTGGTAACTTGTTAAATTAGGCCGTCACCATGTTAGTCTACTAAACTTTACCACGTTTTTTTTTCTTTGGTGGATTTCATCCAATTTTTTTTCAAATTTTAAAAAAAATCATTCTTTTTAGGTTTCAAAAATATAAATATTGTGAACATTTCACATTGTTAACACACTAAAATAAGCATTTAAATATCTCTAGCGAAGAAAAATATCCGCCATATTTAAAATCGGTGACTATGGATTTCGGGCATTTTGGATGCTAAATTTCACAGTCTAAAAATTTCTGCAATCGCTATGTGATGTGAACCATAAGGAATGCGTGTTTATGATCATACTTCGGTATTGCGTGCATTTCCAGCTGTCTACAATGTTTTGATTGTTATGAGGCATTGCTCTTGTCTTTCGAAATGCGTTCAGTCTGTAGCTTGTAAATACGCGGGAACCTATCACCAGCCCTATGAAAATAAAACAATTTAAGAAATATTTGATATGAGTTATTGCCCTTGTTCTTGGAAACGTGTAGAATGCACAATTTGGACAAAACTGGGAAAATTGTTTATTATCAACTAACGATGAACTTTATCACAATATAACTTGTTCTTTAGCTAGTAAACACTGAAGAAGGCACAATTATTGATAAATTTAGATACATTTAGATAAAACTTCATAATAATCAAGTAGGAACCTCATTAAAGTGTTGAAAAATATCTTAGACTCGACCGACTCACTCTTTTGAGCTAACCGAATTGTTTGTTTCCAGATGTAAAAAAAAATACAGATATTGGTACTGTTTGATTGTAGTATGTAGTAAAGGTTAGTAATGATACAGAGGTTGATTCTGTTTGACTGTAGTATGTAGTAGAGGTCAGTAATGATACAGGTATTGACGTGTTTGAGTGTAGTGTGTAGTCGAGGTCAGTAATAATACATATATTAATAGTGCCTGTCTGCAGTATGTTCTCCGGGTCAGTATAATACAGATAGTGATAGTATCTGACTGTAGTATGTAGTATAGGTCAGTAATAACACAAATATTGATAGTATCTGACTGTAGTATGTAGTCTAGGTCAGCAATGATACAGTGATGATATTGGTAGTGTCTGACTGTAGCATGTAGTCTAGGTCAGTAATGATACAGCTATTGATAGTGTTGACTGTAGTATAATGTCTAGGTTAGTAATGATACAGATATTGATAGTGTATGATTGTAGTATGTAGTCTAGGTCAGTAATGATACAGATATTGATAGTGTTTGATTGTAGTATGTTGTTTAGGATAGTAATGATACAGATATTAGTACTGCTTGACTGTATTATGTAGTAGAGGTTAGTAAGGATACAGATAATGATACTGTTTAACAGAAGTATGTAGTCTAGGTTAGTAATGATACAGATATTGATAGTGTTTGATTGTAGTGTGTTGTCTAGGTCAGTAATGATACAGATATTGATAGTGTTTGATTGTAGTATGTTGTCTAGGTTAGTAATGATACAGATATTAGTACTGCTTGACTGTATTATGTAGTAGTAGAGGTTAGTAAGGATGCAGATATTGATACTGTTTAACAGAAGTATGTGGTCTAGGTTAGTAATGATACAGATATTGATAGTGTTTGATTGTAGTATGTTGTCTAGGTTAGTAATGATACAGATATTGACAGTGTTTGACTGTAGTTTGTAGTAAAGGTCAGTAATGATACAGATATTGATAGTGTATGATTGTAGTATGTAGTCAAGGTTAGTAATGATACAGTAATGATATTGGTAGTGTCTGACTGTAGCATGCAGTCTGACCTCCACTACATACTACAATCAATCACTATCAATATCTGTATCATTTCCGACCTCTACTACATACTACAGTCAGACACTACCAATATCATTACTGTATCATTACTGACCTCTACTCAAACTACAGTCAAACATTGTCAATATCTGTATCATTACTGACTGACCTTGACTACATACTACAGTCAAACACTATCAATATCTGTATCATTAATGACCTCTACTACAAACAACAGTCAAACACAGTCAATACCTAACGTATTTCTTCAAACACAGTCAATACCTAACGTATTTCTGATATTATGACTACATAATACAGTCAAACACCATCAATATCTGTATCATTAGTAAACTCTACTACACACTACAGGCAAACACCATCAATATCTGTATCATTAGTAAACTCTACTACACACTACAGGTAAATACCATCAATATCTGTATCATTACTGACCTCTACTACATACTACAGTCAAACACTATCAATATCTGTACCGTTACTTCCCTCTACTACAAACTACAGTCAAACACTGTCAATATATGTATCATTACTAACATGATAGCGGACGGGTCCTTTTTAAATTTATAAGTGACCAAGTTTGACAATTAAACACATATTTAAACATTTTGTCCAAATTTTGTGGATAATGGGTTATTGTGTCATAAAATATTGTGGAGCGAACGGACCCAGGGCGAACGATCTAGGGGCAAACATGATAAAGACCGAAAATGTATAGGGGCGAACGCGTTTAACAGTACCTAGCTAAATATAAAATTCTAACTTTATGACCTAGGCCTACGCTTTTATGGGATTTTTATTCTCATATCACCGTAATATCCATAGGAAACAACATTACAATTTTTGTGGAAATATACATTAGGTCTACTTACTCAGTGGCGTAGCCAGGATTTCATTGACGGGAGTGAGGAGCACATTTACCCTCTTTTTGGCTTTTCGAGGGAACTACCCTCTAAATACGCCACTGTAGTAACTTGTAAAAACGCAGTAATATTAGGAGACACATTGCATAAAATGCAGGAATTTATTTTCAAAACTCATTCTCACACAAAATACCCTTACGATCGTTTGGGGAAGTTTAATCCTCAAATGATTTTGAATGAATATACTTGTAGTAAGCCTGCTTTCCAATTCATTAACAAGGTTAAAAGTAAATTTTGACTAATTTGTAATTAAAATCTATTGCCGAAAGAACAAATGAATGTACACCAAATTTCACGCAACGCGGAATTTTTTAGATAGGTTTGAATTGAGAAGTATTCATCCTTGAACCATGAACTCTTCACAATCGGCCTTGACATTTATTTGTAAACAAACACGACATTTTTTTTCAAAAAGCGAATTTTTGATGAAAATGATGATTTTTTGATTGCAAAATCGTTATTCTAAATATTTAGGTAGTTTTAAGCAATTTTTTCCGAAAAGAATGTCGAATCATGACTAATTGGACATAACTGTATATTTGGGAAAAATTGAGCAACTAAACCTAAATGAGGCTTCATTCCATAGGCCTGCCCTAATTTCCACTCAGCACTATTATTTACTCAACCTCAGAATGGGTCTTTATTAGGTTTAAGTGAAATTAGGGTAATCCTATGTCCATATCGATGGCATGCCAATGAGTCTTTATTCCATACCCTATTTCCCACACAGCTCTATAATTTACTCAACCTAGCAACGAGTCTTTATTCCATACTCTATTTCCCACACAGTTCCATAATTTACTCATCCTAACAATGAGTCCATATTCCATACTCTAATTCCCACACAGCTCTATAGATTACTCAGCCTAACAATGAGTCCGTGTTCCATACTCTAATTCCCACACAGCTCTATAATTTATTCAACCTAATAATGAGTCTTTATTGAACCCTCTATTTCCCACACAGCTCTATAATTTACTCAACCTAACAATGAGTCTTTACCGAAATAGCTCTATAATTTACTCAACTTCAAAGTGAGTCATTAATTCAGACTATATTTCCATCTTAGCTCTTTATTTTACTCAACTATTCCGTATTCCATACTCTATTCCCAACACAGTTCTATAATTTACTCAACCTCACAATAAGTCTTTATTCCAGACTCTATTTCCCACATAATAGCTCTACAATTTACTCAACTTCAAAGTGAGTCATTAATTCAGACTATATTTCCATCTTAGCTCTTTATTTTACTCAACTAGTCCGTATTCCATACTCTATTCCCAACACAGTTCTATAATTTACTCAACCTCACAATAAGTCTTTATTCCAGACTCCATTTCCCACACAGCTCTATAATTTACTCAACCTAACAATGAGTCTTTATTACATACTCTAATTCTCAAATAGCTCTATAATTTACACAACCTA